GGAGCTTAAAGGGTTATAAACTCAGCGTCTCACTTGTTCCGTGATTGCTACGTTAATTCTCGTTTTATTTTTTCTAATTTATCTTAAATTTAGTACCTTAACTGCTTCGTTCTTATTGTTGTTTTTCAAGCACATATAGTGCTTTTGAATTCTAGCAATTCCAGTATACTATTGATGTGTTATAATTTGTGGCAGTTTTACTACGTCCGTGAGAAAATAGACTTTCTTACTCTTTCATATACATGTATTTTGCAGAATGTGTTCACCTAACCCGAAATGAACGACAAATAATGATATGCTGCATTGGAGTCACTCCTTTGGTCAAATTCTCTTCGCTTGAGCAAACTCATACGTGCCAAATGAATATCTTTTACATCAAGTTAAGATTTGGTGCAAGTACATTATGGAAAGAAAATCGTGTGGAGAAAAGAAAAAAAGAAAACAAAGATTTTGTAATGTATTGTGCTAAATAGTTGCTGCTTTCCTTCCAACATAACAAACAAAAAAACAACGATGTTGCTACGTAGAAAATTAACTTCGCGAAGCATCAACATTTCATACGAAAGAGCCCAACAGAGTCGGGTTACAGCTGTAGACAGCTGTTTCGTTCTTATTAAAACTCAGTACAGCGTAGCTGGAAGCTACTGCACAACAAATCTGATATGCTTTATTTTTTAACAATTATTCACAGAAGTGGAGGTAAAAATCCACCACTAGCCACCGACACTGAGGTGAATAATTATTTTAGTATATACCACACAAGCTGAATAACTAGAAAACCCAAAACTACTTTATTTTTGTCAAATGCTAGAAAAATTTGCGCGCCGCGCAATGTATTAACGCTGACAATGTCACACGGTAACCGGATGAAATAAGGTCAAACAATGTGAACGAAATGAAGGACTTGAAACGGTGGACGATCTTCAGAAATATTATTCCAATTTCTTTGGACTCCGCAACCCTGTAAAGGTGAAAAAATAGAAAAGGTTAAGGTGCACACGACCTAAATGCCCAAACGGCCAGCGGGTATCTTGGTTTCCTTAGCATGAAGCATGCCTAGAAGTATTGCTACTTCTTCCCTGGACGAGAAGCTAGTCTATCGCAGGATTACCCTCGCCAGAAGTTTGTCTTTATCTATACACCTGGGTGAGGAGAGACAAAGAGGAGTAAAGTTCCTTGTCTAAGGAGAACAACGTGACGGGCGACGCTTGAACCCCGGACCTCCAGATCCGGAGTTCGAGGTTTTGACCGATCGGCCACAAACGCCTCGCCTCGAAATCCTGTAATCAAAGAAAAAAAGCGCAGTTCAAGTTTTTAATGTCTCAGTAGTGAATAGTACTTTTCAGGTTAATCACCCAAGCTTAAACCAATCAGCGCTGGGGAACTAAAAGCACTACTGATTTACTTGTGTGGTATACACTAAATGTAAATAACATGTAATAGTACAAGGCTGATGCTACAAATTTGCGTTTGTGGCGATGGTAATTTTCTTGTAGTTTTGAATACTTATTGTAAACAGGTGCGAATTAATCTTTGCCCGAAAATTGTGTTTTGCGGATGATATTACTGAGTAAATAGGTTGCGTTTACAGAAAAGCCATTTTCACATCACTATTCAAATATGACAGATTAAGCCTTCGATAACAAACTACAACATTTGGTATTGTTTCTCTTTTAAGTAACGTTCGTAGAAAACGAAGCAATGGCGATTATATCAGTTACGACGAACTCACACAATACGTCCCTTACAGTACCAGGGAGATCGTTTCGAAGGCACAAGTCATCACTTGGAGTTTTGCTCTTGCGTTGGAAGCTGTTGTTATTGTCGTTGGAAACTTGCTCACTACTGTACTCTTTGCATCTAACAAAGAGCTTCGAACTAAGAAAAGTTTATATCTTGTTCTGAATATGGCGTTTGCTGATCTGGTGCTTGGAGGTGTGTGTCTTCCTACATCTGTTTATGTTCTTGGTACTCGTAACTGGTTATCGCAGGAACTTACATCTCCAACCAGTTTTTTAAAAATTGTCGTTACGGTTTTCTCGCAAGCCTCACTCATTACCGCTGCTTTGATATCTGCAGAGAGATTTTATGCCATATATTGGCCATTGAAGCACCGAAAACTTACAACGCGAGCATACAAGCTGTTTATTTTGACGGTGTGGATTGTAGCAACTCTTTTTCATACGGTTTATCTTCTGTCATTCTTCACCCCTCTAGCTGTGTATACTTTCGTATCTTTCTACGCTTTGTTTGTAGCTCTCACAATTTGTGGTTTTAACNCCTACATCTGTTTATGTTCTTGGTACTCGTAACTGGTTATCGCAGGAACTTACATCTCCAACCAGTTTTTTAAAAATTGTCGTTACGGTTTTCTCGCAAGCCTCACTCATTACCGCTGCTTTGATATCTGCAGAGAGATTTTATGCCATATATTGGCCATTGAAGCACCGAAAACTTACAACGCGAGCATACAAGCTGTTTATTTTGACGGTGTGGATTGTAGCAACTCTTTTTCATACGGTTTATCTTCTGTCATTCTTCACCCCTCTAGCTGTGTATACTTTCGTATCTTTCTACGCTTTGTTTGTGGCTCTCACAATTTGTGGTTTTAACATCGGTATCTGGCGAAAATGCCAGCAAAAAACTACTTCTCATCACCAAAACAGAGCCTTACAAAATCAGCGCCTGACAAAGGCGTTATTATTAGTATCTGTTTCAACTTCGTGTTCTTGGCTCCCGACGATTATTTTCAATTTGATAAGTATTTTTGGATACAAAATGTCTGAAAACATATTCCTCCTAACTGTGTTTGTACATTTTAGCAGCTCGTTTATCAATCCAATAGTGTACGCTTTGAGAATTCCTGAGTCTAGGCAATCTTTAAATTTCTTCCGTTTTAAAAGGCAGGAAGTAAAGCACAGCGAAGGAAATGCAGGAAAAGCTGATATCGCATCCAATCACAACAAGGTACAGCTCACTTTCGAAGGGAAATTGTGGAGGATACGAAATTGTGATCATCCGTGGAAACTCATCAAGCTGACGGTATACTTTGAAGAAAAATAGCGATAATCATTAAAACGCTCAACTTCACAACCAAAAACTTGTTTGAAATTAGTAGAATGTAAACAAAACACTCAATCTTTGATATATTCTTCTTAAGGTGGCTCGACTGGATTTTTTGGGGTTGATACCTCCCAAGTTTGAGCATTAACTACGTCGGCATGAGTAAAGATATGGAAAAAAAGGTTACCACAACTGTATTACATAAAGATGAAAGTTTCTTATGATCTGGGTTTTATTGCAAACGGAGTCGCCATGGCAACGTAATGACGCCATTACGTTTTTCATTTATCGTTGTGTTTCTCTGTACCAGGAGTTTTTTTGAAGAAATCGCTTAAGGGAGTATGTACCTGCTATAAATGCCTCCATTATGGCAAAGTTTGAAGAAATTCTATGAGAGCGTTTTCGAGATATTTCGAAATGCAGTTTTAAGAATCATCAAAGCAGTGAAATAGCATGCTAGCCGCTCAATTCGCTAATATTTTAAGAAAATGATAAGCTTTGGGAACGAGGCTTCATGTCATGTTGGTTTGAACATTGAAAACAGGGAAGGCTTTTAAATAGGGCCTCAAATATAACCAATTTTCCCCCCAGATTTTGTGTTTACAAGTGAGCGTCCTCAGTATTCACTGGCATTGTTTTCAAGTTTCATATGCACGTGCACAACTAGCAAAAGATATAAATTTGCATCAAAAAAGAACCCTCGATTACTTTCCGAAGAAATATCCGGTATATGCTAATAATTGGCTTGTCGTCACAGATAGCAGTGAGAGCCCAAACGGTGAACGTCACGGCTCATCATGTAGGATGCAATACTTATAATTATCTTACTCGGGTTATAACATCACAGAAACTCTCACAAAGAGTTGCTCTGATGTTATAATGTATCACTAACCTCTTTACCCGGTAATTAGCATACCGCGGATATTTAACCGAGGGCCCTTTCTGATGCAAATTCTATCTTTTTGCTAAATGTGCACGTGTATATGAAACTTGAAAACAATGCCAGTGAATAATGGGGACGCTCACTTGTAAACACAAAATCTGGGGGGAAAATTGGCTATATTTGAGGCCCTATTTAAAAGCCTTCCCTGTTTTCAATGTTCTTAAAACTTGCAGGGAATATTTCTTGACGATTGATCTCGGAATTGTCGAATTTATAAAAAAATTTAACGAGCGGTTTTTGGAAAAATGCGAAATTTTTAGGCATGGACCAAATTACCTCCAAAAACTGTATCAAAAGCATCTGAATGCAAGTTAATAAAATCCTTCTTACTCGCGATCGCCCAGAGCAATTCCCCTCTTTTTTTGTATGCCGTTTTCAATGGAATCAATCCACTATAAGATGAAGCCGCGTTCCCAAAGCTTATCATTTTCTTAAAATATTAGCGAATTGTGCAGCTAACATGCTATTTCACTGTTTTTATGATTCTTAAAACTGCATTTCAAAATATTTCGAAAACGCTCTCATAGAATTTCTTCAAACTTTGCCATAATGGAGGCATTTATGGCAGGTACATACTCCCTTAAGCGATTTCTTCAAAAAAACTCCTGGTACAGAGAAACACAAAGATAAATGAAAAACGTAATGGCGTCATTACGTTGCCATGGCGACTCCGATTGCAATAAAACCCAGATCATAAGAAACTTTCATCTTTATGTAATACAGTTGTGGTAACTTTTTTTCCATATCTTTGCTCATGCCGACGTAGTTAAGGCTCAAACTTGGGAGGTATTCCCCTAAAAAAATCCAGTCGAGCCACCTTAAATACATTTAGAGAACTCAGAACTTGGAGACCGAATTTCATTAACTCTTTCCAAAGTTCTTTCTATGATGTTGTTCGTTAACTAAATGTGATGTTACACGAGACGATTCGCAACGACGATTTTTAGCTAATACAGCGTTGCAACATTGTTGCGACATTGTTTCGAATAGTTACAACATTGTTCCAAAACTGCAATGCTGTGTTGCGCAAAAAATCGTCGTGGCGAATCGTCCCGTGTAACATCACTTTAAGAAACGTAGTAATAGAATCTGATGGTCCTTGCCTTTGATGCTTACGCTAGCGATTGCTTAAAGCGAACTCGGCCTGGCGGCTTTGAAAGAGAATTATACTAGTTTAAACTATGATCCCTGCCAAAATGGTTTACACGTAATCTTGCTAGCACCCACAATTTATGCGTGTGGGAAGAGTAATGGAACTAAAGCTTTATGTATTTTGCTAAATAGTTTTCAATTCATGAGAACTGTCCTTAAAACGGGCAACGTAAACGTGCAACTGGTTTTGCAACATTGTTGCAATTTGCAAAAAACCTGATGTGAATGCAGGTAGCATAAAACGTGCAACATCGCTTTTAAGCTCGTTTGGCAGCAATGTTGCTAAACAAGATGCACTTTTTTTGCCTGTGTTACCGTAGCTTTAATGCAGTAAGCAAAGCAGCTAGGCTGAAGCTACGTAGAAAATTTACCTTTGCAGGACAACCCAGCGTCTTTTGAGGAAGGAAGAGATAGGACCTTGGGAACGAGGCTGAACTGTGGCTGGGACAGCTGTTTCGTACGAACAGCATTCACGTCCGCAGAGCCAATCGGCTTGATTTGGCCAAGCAACGACGGGCTATGGGGACGAGAATGTACGATCACATGAACAGCGCGGCATATCTGTCGTTGATTGAATTCTTTGGCAAAAATTTGTCTGCAAATAATGATACCAAAAAGCAAAAACTATTAAACGATTGCGGAAAAGTCCATCGAATATTGAAGTAAGTTTAACATTCAAAGTTAAAACGACGAAGCAAATGCAACTTTTTAACTAACAAATTCGTTTGCAAAAAATGACTCGAGGTTGTTAAAAATAATCGGTGAGGGTAAAAGGCGGATTGAGTTTGCGGTATGGCATGTGGCACGGCTTGCAGAATGACATAATTATGCAGAATGTAAAATGTGGAAAATGGCACAAAGAAATAAATTAAACTGAAAAACATGTGCGCGTCTTTGCCGCGCCTTTTTCTGGCGCCAATTTGAGTGAGCAACTTTTTTGCAGGTCCATTTATTACTGCTGGCTTGGCCAAAAGCCAGAGCAGAAAGTAGCGACAATACTCTCTCTCTCTCTCTCTCTCTCTCTGTCTGTGTGTTCTGCCCACCATTATAATAAAGTCAAATGTCAAAACGCTAGGGGGAACAGAACGCTTGTTGAACGTGAAGTCGGGCTAGCTACAATTCTAGGGATAATTAATTAATACGGTGGACGGATCAGATCATATTTGAGACTAAATGAATGAGTCAAACATTAATCTCTTATCCAGAAATCGAGTAAAGCGAACTCTCTCTGTCTCCTTTCGGCCATTCCGCGTGTCTTCGCACCTTCGTTCTTTGTTTGAGAGTGTGCGTTTGATCGTGAAAAAATGCTAAAACTGTAGGAAGGGGAAAAAAAGAAAAAAAGACACACTCAATTGCCAGGATTCGAACTCGCCCTTCTCCAGCGGCTTTTAGCTTCGCGTGCCGGAAACGTAACAAAATACAAGATCCGTTTTCATCTCCAAACCCATCGTCTGAAAAACAAACACTTCTCACGCGGTTGAAGATACAAATATAGCTAAAAGGAAACTGTTAAGTTAATCGTGCAAACATCTTTTGCAGAAAAAGTTAAATAGAAGGGAGCGTGACCTTCCAAAACATCTTTGCTTCAATGGTTGACTTTCGTGCTGCAGTATCGGTTCTGCCATGCAGCCCGATTAATAAAGGCAAGAAGAATCTTTGTGGCTGTGCGGAAAAGGCTAATCGACAATGAGCCTTCGTGGCCTTTTGATTGCCAACATTAAAACAGCGGCTGCGTTTGCAAATTGATTGGCGCCAAAAAAGGACGCACTTTTCACTTTAATTTATTTCTTTGGGTCGTTCTGCATATATTAGATTTCACATAATTATGCCATTCCGCAAACTCATTCCTTCCGCCTTTTACCCTCAACGGTTTCTTTTCTATCTAGAACATTATTCAACATTATTTCTAGCCTTATTTTGACCAAGAATAAATAAAGAAAAAAAAGACATTTTTGGACAAAACAATGGGTTAACCCCTTTGCCAAAAATGTGATTTTTGGGACTTTAAAGGAATGAAATGTTTATCGCCAAAAAAGGTTTCTTTTTTATCTAGAATATTATTAAACATTATTTCTAGTCTTATTTTTGACTGAAAGCAAAGAAGAAAAAAACTTCATTTTTTAGACGCGCACATGTTTTTCAGTTTAATTTATTTCTTTTCGCCATTTTCCATATTTTTCATTCGGCCTAATTATGTCATTCCGCAAGCCGTGCCACATGCCATTCCGCAAACTCATTCCTCCTTTTACCCTCACCGAAAAATAATGCAGCAAAAAAGAAAATTGTGGCACGAATAACAAAATAGCAAAAAGTGTGGTGATACGACCATGAACATGTCCATTCCTCCTCCTTAAATATATAATGTGATAAGAAAAACTATTCCAGGACAAATAACAAAAATGTGGAAATTTAAAAGGTAAAAGTCGCAAGTAGAAAAAGAAATGCAAATGAGAAAGAAATAGAAAGGTCCCTCAGCAGGCCATGATTTTAGCAAATTTCACTCAATGAAAACAAAAATAACGTAAAAACAATAACAGGAAAAATCGTTAAAGACATAAGAGGGGAATGGGAAAGGCGAGGAGGGCTCGCAAAAGGCCATAACTTCACCAAACAACATTTACCAAAAGTAACAAGGAGGACTTTTTTTGCGACTGTTGAAACGATTCTAACCCAATGGGTAAATTACCGCAAGAACGTTACTTTGCTAGATCTGTGGTCTTCTGATACCCTCTAGCTGAGTTTTCTTTCCGGCATGGCTCTGATGGCTCATAGCACGCACGAAGTCGCCTGACATTCTCATAGTCGACTTGTTTACGCAAACAAGCCAACTACGCGAATGTCTGCGGGGCGAGCGACTTCGTACGTGCTAATAATCATTTTAATATTGGAAAGAAACCTCCGCTCCGCGAGCAGGGTATCAACTGAAGTTCCTCTTTCCATTTGCCATTTTATCGCTCCAGACTTTTTTCGCTCTTGCTGTATTGGGATATATTTATTTTAACGGTCGCAGAAAAATTTCTTGGCTGATGCGATAAATTTGCTTACTTCTTGGCCTACTGATCGGGGCCCTCTTTGTGTTTCCATTTGTATCCTCAGTTGCTTTTTTTGTTATTCTTGAAGTTACCTTTTTGACAACCACAGAAAAATTCTTTTGCTTATTAACTTTATTGTCGCTTGCACCTTTTTTTCGTTGTTGTTGTTGTTTAATCTTTGTTGAGGATTTTAGCGACATACCTTTAGTAATTTTTTGCTGAAATCAGTCGGTTGTCAATATTTGCCAGAAAATAGCCCTTTTGTTTCCATGCCGCTTCATATAAGTTTGACTGCATGATATTACTTAATTTTAATGTTTGCCTGAAATTAAAGTTCTCTTCGTACTTCTTTGAATCGAACTTGTCATTATCTAATGACGTCACTCATTCAACTTAACTTTATCTTTTATAGCGAGGAGCCTGTTACTCTTGCCTATGTATTTTGTTTTGCATTATTTTATTGTTTAGACTGCAATGTTAACTGTATCCGTGATTTCGGGATAATTTTGTATAAGGTATTTCTCATATTCTTTAAAATAGTAAGTAGCGGCTTCTCGCATAACAAGCATAGGGAAGTAGTTGATGAATTATCGTTTCCAAAAAGTGTATTACACGCAGGGGCGGATCTAGGGGGAGGGTGCAGGGGGTGCGCACGCCCCCCCCTCCCCCCTCCTGAGATGACCTGTGGTTTTCTAATACAACTGGTATTCTGCAAAAAAAAAACTATGTGGTTTATTGGTGTTGAAGTAGAGAAAGAGACGAGTGCACCACCTCCTAAAAAAAATCCTGGATCCGCCCCTGACACGGGTTCTCATTAATGTCAGATATGCCAAATATTGTCCTGCTTTGTTATGTGGCCGGAAAAAAGGCGTTATTTAAAGCTCTGGTAGTGAAAAATAAGGGATTTTACCTTCATTAAATCAGCAAAATTGCCTCTGTGAGAAAGATTGGCTTTATTGCCAGGTTTTTTCCACTCCGTAAGTAAGGACTTCACTTACGCCAGAAACAAGAAATGAAGAAGATGGCAGCCACAAAGGACTTACAAGACGAGCCCCCTTCACATACTGAAGAAGTCCTTCCTAACGCACAAGTCATCACTTGGAGTTGTGTTCTTAGCTGGGAAGCTGCTTTCATTACTTTGGGAAATTTATTCACAATTATTACCTTTACATTTATCAAGAAGCTTCGGGCAAAGAAAAGTTTATATCTTGTTATAAATATGGCTTTTGCTGATCTTCTGTTGGGAAGTGTGTGTCTACCTATATCTATTTTTACCCTTGTGACTTACCAACAGTTATCGCAGGAAAGATCTCCCGTTTTTCTTAAAATGATTATTGTTGTTTTCGCGCAGGCCTCTTTTATTTCTGCTGCTTTGATATCTGCGGAGAGATTTTACGCCATCTATTGGCCGCTGAAGCAGCGAACACTTTCTACGCGAGCATACAGGCTTGTTATTTTAACGGTGTGGTTATTGGCTATCCTTGGTTCTATTTCGACATTTTTTCTACTAAAATCCTTAAGCGTCGTGGATTTGTATTTTTTACTGTGTTTATACGGCTTTTCTATTGTTCTGACTATCTGCGGCCTGAACATCGGTATTTGGAGAAAGTTTCAGCAAAAAACTGTTCCTCATCACCAAAACAGAGCCTTTCAAAACAGACGCCTAACAAAGACCTTATTATTTGCATCTCTTATCGCCTCGGGTTCCTGGATCCCTACAATTGTTTATAACCTGATTGTCTTTCTTGGGTACAAAATAACTAACAACATTTCCTGGTGACTTTCTTGATATTTTTTTTCAACTCCTTAGTCAATCCAGTGTTGTATGCACTGCGGATTCCCGAGTCTAAACAAGCCTTAAGCTCATTCTTTTTCACCAGGCGCGAAGTAATAGGAAGCAAAGGACAGGGGCACCCAACGAGAGTATAGTTCAAAACCACTTAAACATAGCGTTGTTGAATGTATTTTAGTATTTAAACGGTAGATGTAAGCATATTTTTATCCCCTAAAAATTTTTCATCTGTTCGGATTTCCTAGCTTAAAGTCTAGTGATCCGAAAATTATAGGGATCAAAACTTACCTTTTCGAAAATTTTCGCCAGAAAAAAGGCTCCCGAAAATTCTAGGTGACCTTTTTAGTGTAAAAATTAGTTAAAAATGGGCAAGTATATCATTTTTAATTTGTTCGAAAATCCTAGGAAAGGCATGCAAGCAAGAAATTTTACAACAAATGTTCCGAAAATTCTAGATCTCAAATCGTCTTCCGAACAGATATTTTTCCGAAAATTTTCGTTGGGTGCCCTTGAAAGGAAATACAGGAACAGACGAGATGGCTGCCGCTTTGACGCAGGTGAGACAGCATAAAATGTGGGCAAAGGACCACAGTAATTTGCAGCTTACATTTGAACAGGTAATCCTGGAGGATACAAAACTGTGAACATTTGTACAAGTTCAACCAATATACAGTCGACTCCTAAACCTTTAAAGGGAAGAAGAAAAAGTTCGAGTTATCGGTAGTTCGACAGACAGTTGACCGTCCCTTATTTTTTCGTGAGATCGTTAATGGCGGCCATCTTGATTTTCAAATGTACCGTGGGGGCAGGCGTCGGGGATTATAGCTCTAGGGGGAGGGGGGGGAGGAAGACGCTTCCGAAACCACCAATCAAACCACCCACCAAACCAAAATATCATGACTCAGGACCCACCACATTTTACTCACGATCCACTGCAATTTTCCCTTTATTCAAAACAACCCACGCCTACAAGTTTGCCCTGTGACCACGTGGAGAGACGCTAGGTCCCACGGTCTTACTTCCTTCCGTCCCCTGGTGGCCATGGGAACGAAGTTTCCTGTTCCCTGAGCTTTGTTCCGTTCTCATGTTTTTGATGTGTCCCACACTTCACAGACGGTTACAAAAGGACAGGTACAGTTTCAATTTTTCTTTAATCTACCATTTTGGTATTTAGTTTTTTAAACGATTACGCTAATACTCAAATACCGCAGTTCTTTGCGATTCAAAGAAGGAGAAAATTACGAGAGCAGTTTCAATTATTTTTGAATATCTTAAAGGCTAATTGCAAGCCTTATTTTTATCAGCCAGGGTCAATTACATAACCCATTTATGTTTCTGCTTATTTACAATTCGAATTTAAATCATGCCTACCAAGCCTCTGTTTCAAAGCGAGGCTAAGTGCGATATAAATGAATTTTTACTCTCATGCAAATTTAACTCATTTTCACAAGAAAGGTTTTGCACTTAGGGCCTGTATACATGGAGGTGGGGGACCCCAGGTAGGTGAGGTAACCTGCAGCGGTCACCCCACCTATCATGTAAATGTGATCAAATTAAAATGAGAAATTACACGTGATGGCTCTCCTGGAGATTATATGGCAGGCGGGAGGCGGGTTACCCCACCTAAGTAGGTTATGGGGTCCCTTACCTCCATGTAAACAGGCCCTTAGCCTCGTTTTGAAAGTGTCAGTTTTTAGAACTCAGAGCCTATTTCACATCCTTTACAAAGAAGGGTACAATACAAATGTAACAAAATTGATTGTTCTAGAGCCAAAAGAACCTAAACGTAACTTTTTTGTTTTGCAAGTGCAGCGATTCTCTTGATCACCCAGAAGGAGGTGGAGCGCGGGCTCTTTTTCCGAACAGAAGCTGGTAATGGAGCCTTCGTGAAATTCGAGAAAAAGCTTTTCCGTGATCTGTTGTTCAAATTCTTCGTTTAGAACATACTGTTTGAGAGGACCGGATTGTTAAATGCAGGGGTTAAAAAAAAATTACGACTAATTTTTAGGGTGCTTTTGAATAGAAGCCCCCTGATACACAAACACGTCTCCAAACGTTTATGTTGTAAAAATCGTTGCGTAACAGATGCAACACCTTTTCGGACAACCAAGTCTTGGCATGATAAAATGTAATTCCTAAATTTTTTACAGATTGTATCTATTTTGAGATTACATTCAAGCTCTTTGTTTAATGAAAATCTTATCGGTTTTTACGCTTTTTCAGCTTACGATGTTCATTCAGTCCGCAACATGACAGGTGTTTTTCAACAGATGTGACGAGTATTGTAGATTATATGAGACTTTGATTTGCTTCCCTGACAATGTCCACTGAAGCATACGACTTCCCTTTGCAGCATGACAGGATTATTTCTGCGAGTAATAGCTGCCGAACCAAGTAGCTGACTGAGCAGTCACTCCGATGATTTGTTTTCAACAGCTCCCTTTCAAAGCAGTTGTTTGATCGAAATAAAGCCCAGTTCAAAGTATCTTGACAATCAATCTGACAGAGAATCCACTTCGAGGTTTTTTTTTGATCGACGCAAAACCCAGTTCAAGGTAACTTGGTGTTGACGATAGTTTCTCTGATTGACAGCTGTCTGCATTTGACAGTGCCGTCTCCACCACACGAAAACAGTTGACCATTGGGCTGTAGGTGNGGTTAAAAAAAAATTACGACTAATTTTTAGGGTGCTTTTGAATAGAAGCCCCCTGATACACAAACACGTCTCCAAACGTTTATGTTGTAAAAATCGTTGCGTAACAGATGCAACACCTTTTCGGACAACCAAGTCTTGGCATGATAAAATGTAATTCCTAAATTTTTTACAGATTGTATCTATTTTGAGATTACATTCAAGCTCTTTGTTTAATGAAAATCTTATCGGTTTTTACGCTTTTTCAGCTTACGATGTTCATTCAGTCCGCAACATGACAGGTGTTTTTCAACAGATGTGACGAGTATTGTAGATTATATGAGACTTTGATTTGCTTCCCTGACAATGTCCACTGAAGCATACGACTTCCCTTTGCAGCATGACAGGATTATTTCTGCGAGTAATAGCTGCCGAACCAAGTAGCTGACTGAGCAGTCACTCCGATGATTTGTTTTCAACAGCTCCCTTTCAAAGCAGTTGTTTGATCGAAATAAAGCCCAGTTCAAAGTATCTTGACAATCAATCTGACAGAGAATCCACTTCGAGGTTTTTTTTTGATCGACGCAAAACCCAGTTCAAGGTAACTTGGTGTTGACGATAGTTTCTCTGATTGACAGCTGTCTGCATTTGACAGTGCCGTCTCCACCACACGAAAACAGTTGACCATTGGGCTGTAGGTGCATAAGAGCCACACCCTGAGTCCCGTATTTGAGGAGATACGCTCCTTTGCCGTGTTCCTTTGGATAAGACTCCAATTCTTCATGCACAGCTAAGCCCCAAACCTAACAGAAAGATATACCAGTTCCTTAATCTGGTCACTCAGCCCACAGGGGGTCTGTATAGAACACTACACTGGCTTGATTTCTATAAGTCGCAGAAATTTGAAGAGGAGGGGGGTTGGGGCTATTGTAGTGTGGGAAGGCTTCCTCACTTTCCTCCAGACTTTGTCGGCATTTGTCTGCACTTTTTTTTGTCAGTAAATCATATGCGTCATTCATTGTAAACGCATTGAATCGAGCATTCACAATGCTTTGAGCTGCCTAGTCCCTAGGTCTCATTATTCCGCGCGGCTAATGCATTTCGGGTCACGTGGTCCGAGCGAAGAAGTGAGGCGTTTTCCGCCAATTCGCCTCGGATACGTTACCGAAGTGAATTGACCGAGAAGGCCTGGCAAAACGCCGTACAGGGACTAGGCAATGCCTTGAGAACATGTTTGAACCTCAGTAAAAGGTGAACATTTCAATAGCCCGTAATTTAGAAGTGCAGCTTGTAGTTACCTTTATATCTCCATCTTCTGAACCAGAAATGAAGAACTCCTCGTTTTCATCCACAACTATACTTTTAACCGGGGCGTCATGAGCTAGAAAAGTGTGTCTCAGCTGCCGCTGCCGCAAATCAAAAATACCTACCATGAGTCAAGGCAAAATGGTTACCTTTAACGGGTCTAAGGACTCCTCAAGCAAAACATAAAGAGCCAACTCTTTGCGTCCCTCCAGGCCTATTTACCATTTTTTTTCAGTGACGTTGTGAAAGGAGACCCAAGTTCCACGTGGCTAAGGCTTCGCTTATTTGCTTTGCTGACCGCGGGAAAGGGGAATGGGACTGGTGTGTAAGCGGAGATTTTCGTTTCCTGAATTTTACAATTTTTTTATATTTAATTTGTTAACTTTTATTTTTTTGTTAATTGTCTTCTTTTTTCTATATTTGACAGTTACCCGAGGAGATTTTCATTTTATAAAATTAATATTTACAGCTTTTTTTTACCCACGACATGTACCCACACCCACGACCTACGACCCACACCCTCTACCCACTACCCACGACCCACAACATTTAGCTACACTCGATATTTATCTGACTTCACGTAGGCCACACTTTCGACCAAAACGAGACTACGCTATTGACGGATTGGCACAATTTCTTCTAAAACCCAAGGATACAAATATTTCCTTTTCGACCTCCTGAAATGAGAAGCTGCTGACCAGGAACATAGGCAAGACAGGGAGCTCCGCTTTCATGGCAAATAAACGCTGAAGGAGAAATGAAAGAAAAAGGGTCATTTACTTGGAAAGAAAAACGATACATTAGGACCTGACACACCCTAGCGTGCGTCGGAGACGAAATTTAACCCCGGTTATTAACGTCTGTGAAGCACCCACGAGATTCTTGTTCTGGACCTCCAAAAGATTCCAGTGCGTTTCGAATTTCCTTTCAACCTGACTAGCAAATATACAATGGCTTTTTAACAGGCCAATCATAGAACATACTCAATTCTTGGTACACAGATGGGGAGCCCAGAATAAGGATTTCGGCGCTGTTTTGAAGTTTGACTTAA